TTTACAGTTTTACTTGTATATAGTGATGACATCATTGTGACAGGTAATGACGAAGATGTGATTAAAGAACTAAAGGTAATACTGGATAATAAGTTTAAAATTAAGGACTTAGAAAATTTAAAATATTTTTTTGGAATTAAAGTTGTTAGATCAAATAAAGGAGTTCATATATGTCAGAGGAAATATGTCTTAGACTTTTTAAAGGATGCAAGAGTTTTGCAAAACAAAACTTCATCGTTTCCCATGGACCACAACATTAAACTTTCAAGGGATGAAGGAGAGTCAATCCCATATCCAAGAATATACAGAAGTTTGATTGGTAGGTTGATGTAACTTACATTGACTAGGCAATTCATGGAGAGCCTTAGAGACTGCCATATAAAGGGTGTGTATAAGGTTTTGAGGTATGTTAAAGGCACTCCAGGTCAGGGTCTGTTTTACTCAAGCACATCTGAATTAAAACTAAAAGCTTACACTGATAGTGACTGGGCAGGATGTCCGCACACACAAAAATTTGTTAAAGGATATTGTGTTTTATTGGGGGACTTGTTAGAAGAGAATTATATATATATATATTGTAACACCCTAAGTCCATGAATTAGGCTTAGAATGTTTAAATTTATTTATTTTTCTAATAATAAAAATACATAAGTTTAATTTTTATTTACATTTTTTTTTAGAAATATGTATTTTACAACATTTTAAAACACTATTCAAAATTTTAGGGCCACTCTATAAATAAAAGGGCACTTGTCTGAAAGAAATTTGGAAAAATAGGGTCACTCCATATATTAAAAGAGTTGGGCCTCATAGGACGACCGCATCAGCAGCACGGCGAGTCAGGACGCACCGTGTGGTGGACACGCTGACACAGGCTCCACGCGAGAGCCACGTCAGTAATCCGCATACCAGGGTGATCAAACAGTTTGTATTCACTCCCGCGCGCACGAACGACCTAGATTAATTCTCTGAAAAGGCTCTTAATGCCCCACACAAATCTTAATGCATGGCCCAGATTGATTTTTTAAACAAGCATGATTCGACGGCCCACGTGCCTCCATGCCTCTAAGAATGGACGATTGGAATTGATAGAAGATAAGTATTTAAACCTCTTTCATTGAAATCCTAACCCTAGCCAACACCCAAAGTCGGAGAAAAAGAAAAGAGGCAGCCAAAAGGAGACACAACCACCGAAGGAATGCCAGAATGCCGAAAACACATTGGTAGGCCAAAAATTCTTCCCGTTTTTGCCGTTTCTCCGCCCTTAGTCGTCTAACATGTTTTCGATGCAGGATAACCAAGAGCAATCATAAACTGCAAGGAAGAAATGGTGGAGCTTGGCTGAGCCACAGCACCAGAGGATTGAAACCGCCGGTAAGCACTTATTTTCCCCTTCCTTTCATTGGGAAACCCTCCCAAACCATGATTTAAACATATTTTCACCAAGAACCAGCCGAAACCGGTCTGACTAAGAGGAAGGGCCGTCAGAGAATGAGGACTAAGTAATAGAGCATGGCGACGCTACCGCATCAGAACCCCAACTTGCCCCCGATGAGATTTTTTTATCTTCTTTTGCTGTTCCTAGCATATTTTCATGCCATTTTAACATACATTTCAATCTTATCAGGAAAATTCAAGAAATCCAAGAATCAAAAACCGTCGAGAACCGTGGTGAAAAAGGCGGTGTTCTGGACACCGACCCAGAGTAAGACTCCCTCACCCTTTTTTCCTATTACAGTTAAATTAAAACTAAATTAATAATAAATGAAAATTTTAGATAATTGGAGATTCCTTGATTAATTAAGTACATGTTGCCGATGTAGCTAATAACCAGTCAACTATGCTTGTCATTAGTTAATTGTGTTAGTTATTTCTTCAGTTGCTTTATGGTGCTTATTTCTCTACTGTTCTATTTACTTCAATCTATTAGTTTAATCTTGGATATGGCATGATATGATTTTTTATCCATGTTCTCTCTTGTTCTATTTTATGCATAACACATTTTAGTCAACATAATATACACTTATGTCACTCACATATTCATAAATATAAATTTCATACTTCTTGTGTGGCTTGGGAATGCGGATATACGAGGCGTTTAAGGCTAAATAGTAAATAAAAGAAAGGATATACGTGAACTAATGACATTAAATGAAAAGGCTTATCGGATGTCATGAAAAAGAGTGTACGGACTTGATACATAGGGTCAACCCTACCGTTGACGTTATCTTCAGTCGTATGAGACTAAAAAGTCTCATATCGGATGGGATTGAGTATTATTTTAATTACGCTCATACCAACCAAGATATCGAGATGGTTGTGTGTTGTGGCACTTATTACCAAACGAGTTTTGGGAACGATCGTTTGATTACAAAAAAAATGTTCGTGTCCACGTGTAGTGGAGATTCCAATGGACCTCCAATGATACCGATAGGGAAAGGTAAAATGATAGAGTAGAGATGAATATGGTAAGGAATCCGATTTTGGGAAAAAATAAAGGGTTAATTGTTATACGTCTTTTGAAATGTATATTGTTATATTGTTATTTTGATTTTATCTTAATGAATAGCAGATGAGAAGTTATAGATTAGTCGAGAAAATGCTAACATTTTCAGTGAAACGAATAATAAATGTATTAGCTTTCGAGTTTTATTAAAAATGGGCTCTATTGGTTGTTTTATATTTCCTGTAACCCTTTGATTTTCTGTATCAGTAGTAAAGCGTTAATATTCTTACTGAGTTAGTGTAGTTCACTCATTTCTTATTAACCATTTTAGATCAGGACGACCAAGACCCGGATCCTGAATAGCGAGAGATCAGTTAATGAATTATCTTTTCCACTTTGTTAATTTCGAGTAGAGGTTAACCATATTTGTTTTCTTTTATATTTTTTTCTCTTTAAGTTTCAAAGGCATTCTCATAATTTTATTGGATATTTGGATATTTTAAATAAACGTGTAAGGAATATATCCTTCAAACTTTAAATGCTTCCACTAAAATAATAAATTTCAGGATTATTATTTTATTATTATGTTATATTCTCAAAAGGATTTGGGCTTTTACATATATATTAAAAATTACACGAATTAATTATACGGCGAAATATAAAAAGATTAAGTAGTTAAAAGCTTCTTACCACTCCATAGATCGAAATGACAATAAAAGTAGAGTAAGCAATTTCAGTCGATATCAAATCATCTCATTACATATTAACTCACGGTATCTAAATCACAACCCTAATTATCATTGAACCCAACAAGAAAACTCGGTAACAATCTTCCTCAAAACTCATCTTCATGAAGAAGCATATTAGGAATCCCCTTACTTGCAGGAAATTTCATTCTGGTTTCGAGATAAACTAAAGCATCCTCCTCCAGGTGGAGCTCAAGAAGTGCATGATGAAACTTCCTCATGAATTCGTATGATTCGAGCGCCGAAGACTCGGGCGCCTCCTTCGAAAGTTCCCTATAACCCATAGTTCGCACCGCTCCAACTGGCACTTTCCAATCGATTTTAGGAAATATGTTATTGAGAAAATCGGTGTTGAAATCAACTTCTTTCTCTACAACTTGTTCCACTTCAATATGGAGAGGAAACCCGCAGGTCACTCCTTTGATATTTGACGATAGCATATTATAAATAAGTAATTTCATCTCTGCAGAGAAAAACTATTTCTGTGACTTACTCTATTTCTTTCGCTTTGCCTACCACCGGAACAATGGCAGTAGCAATAACTATAGAACACGATCGTATATATATATATATATATATATATGTATGTATAAGGATTTATAGTTAGGAGAAGGCAGTTCCTGGTAAGGAGTAAACGGAGACGAAAAAGAGAGGAAGAAGAGGCAGTAAATTGAGGAAGAAGAAATGAAGAAAAGATGAGAAGACGGGCTATAAGTTTAGCGAGTGAAGACAATGACTTATAGAGACTAGGGCTAGTAATTGTTTTTAATATTACTATTATATGTTATAATTCTTTTATCTTTTTTTAACTGGTTTAAACAGGGATATAACCAAACTATTTGAACTATCCTACTAATTATTTATGTAAATCTTATTTTATATTTTAAAGATTATTTCAAAATTAATTTTCATATACAACAAATTTAGAATATTTTACATAATATTTTTATTCAATTAATAAAAATTAAAAATGATCAATAAATTTTTATAGAATAAATTTATAAATATTAAAATAAAATAATAAATGCTCTTATAGCCTTTTACAAGGCTTGTAAACTCTTTGTGAGTAGCTTACTCTTGCTCTTGAACTTTGATTTCTACTCCGATAAAATAAAGATAGAAAGTGTGGCAGAAGTGGCTCTAGAGCGATGATGGCGATTAGGAGAAATGACCAATGTATATAATAAATTTTTTTTTAGCAAAATATTTTGTGGTAAATTAATTATATATATCTAATAATTAATTTATTCAATTTATTAGTTGTGCTAGTAACTTCAAACCGTTAAATTTATTAGTAAGTAAAATTAAAATTATTTTATATAAATTTTATTTTTTTAAAGATATTTCAAAAATTTATTTTTATACAAATAAATTCAAATATTTTATACTTAAAGATATTTTTATACAAAAAGAGGGCAGTTTGCCATTTTCAGACCTGCATCTGTCAGACCCCAGAAGGTTTGAGTATATTTATTATGGCCACTTCCCCAATGTTAATATAAGTATATATATTTGAAGACTGTAATAATTTAGGCAAATGGGAGAGAGAACCCGAAGATTTGAACTCAACGGTCAAGTTTGGTTCATTAGTGGTGCCCAATACCCCCATGTAGAAGATACTACTTCTCTTCTTGTTGGTCTTTATTTGTATATATAATTTATATATATATAAATATTTGTTAAAAGGCACATTAGAAATGGGTTGCGTGTAGCCCATGTTCTGTTAGGCTGCTTCCATATGGGAACTAAAACACATTGTTTCATTAAACGGTGTATTTTGGCTGCTGTTACACCAGAAAAAAATGAGTAGAAATACCTCTTCTTCTCCACCTGAAAACCCTTAATCAGGTTTTCTTCTTCTCAAGACTTCTTCCTCTCACAGAGACATCAGAAGCTCTAGTTTTTTGCATTTCCTTTTCTCTTTGTTTTACAAATATTCAACTTGGACATAAAGGCACAACAACAAGTATCTTGTTCAATGGAGTAAATGTATTGTATATTGATTTTCTCATATTTTACCGAATTAATGTATTGTTGTTAGAAAATTTAGGATCTTGTGTGTATTAAGGAAGAAGAAGTTCACTTTATAATAGTATTTAAAACAGTTGGAATGTATTTACTTTATATATATATATATATATTTATTGTTAAAAGAGTTCGAATGTATTTACTTTTTAGTGCATTGCTAACATTATCTAGTGAAATCTAACTTTCTCATACAGTAGAGTATCAAAAAAAGTCTCATAAGAAAATAATAATGAACATAATACAATCAATGCATGATTCTCATTTTCAATCTTAATATTTATGTTATTTAAATCTATAATTATGAAATTAAACTTATCAAGGTTTTATTTAATGGATGTAAATTCATTCATTCTCATATTGTACAATCTTTTCTTTAGATAAAAGTGGTTTGGCAGCGATTTCACTGAGTATAACTCTTCCAGTTTCTTCCATATAACTGAAGCCGAAATGTCTCCAACAGTTTTTCGCAGAACATTGTCATTCACACTTATAAAAATCGCACATAAGACTCTATCTTGCAGATTTACCTTTTCTAATTCTCATACCCTCAGGATATCTTTTTTTCATTTGCCCCTATAAACTTTGTAAAACCAAGGACAATCTCATTCTAATCTTCCACATATTGAAACTCGTACCACCATCAAATATTTCTATCTTATACTTTGTGGATATCATCTCAAATCTCTAGACTATGCACCAACAACAAACAAAGAGAAATAACATTGTCAGAAAATAAAAAACTAATGATATAGAAGTACCACCATATAGAAAATACCATCGAACACCACCGTCAAAGTCTCACACGTTGCCACAAGCCACCACACAATGGTCACCAAAACTTCACGCGCCTCCACGTGTCACCACATGTGTTGTCGTTGAAAATTCACGTGTCGTCGTTAGCCGCCACTCGCTGTCACCTGAAATCGCCAAAAACACCACAGAAAGCCATGACCCCTCTGATCCAACACGGATATGTTAAAAATGCATTAAAAATTGCTTGAAAACATCCTGGATCAAAGTTTGTGCAATTGAGTCGTTGTACACTAGTTCTTCTTCTCTGGTTTCACACACAGACTACTTTATCTAGTTTCTCTCCATCTCTATATCACGCACAAACGTAAATTCGGTCAGATTGTGTGCCTCTTCTCCTGTTTCTGGCCGAAACGAAACCGTCTGTAGCTCATTCTTCCCCTGAGCAAAGCCATCGTACACAGATCAGATGGCACATTTCGTTCGTCTTTAGTCGGTCTTTTTCTCCCTTGTCGCAACAGTTTCGCCATGAATCGTCGTCACTATACAGTTTATCTTCTTCGAACTGTGTTCGGCCAAAAAATTGATTTATTTTTTTCTCTCACTAACTGATATGGCTTCCTCTCTCTAACTCAGCTCAAACCTAAACTCCGATATCACTTGTTATAAAAAAATAAATCCTTGAACTATGCACAATCACACCAAAGTAAAAAGAGAAATAAAAGAGCATAAGGTTTTAAGATGGTTCGACAATAAGTCTACATCCACGGATAGGACTGATAAGAAAGTATTATGCTATAATAAATAGAAAGTACATCACCAATAAGTTTGCAAACTTATTTATAGAGAGACTAACAAAGTTTTTCTCAAACAAAAATTCTTTAAGATATACATCAAATATTTTTCATGATATATATAAAATATCCACTAGAATAAATATAAACTATCCCCAAAATATAAATAAATATCAATAAAACTCAAGTCACATCAAGAAGTTTGCACTAGTCATTTATTATAGGCATGTACAACATCCATGAGGCATTTGTCTTGGGTCGACTAATGATGGGGTAATAGATTTGAAGGCTGGTTAATGAAATTTGACATAAAAGAGGTTCATCATCAGCAACTAGACTGAGGGAGCTGTGAGCCATCTTTACCTTTGTTTGAAGAGGAAAAATAATTTGTTTAATACTGTCTTTCTAATAACAATTGAGCAATTTTAGCAGAGCTATACTCATTGTTTTGGTAGTTAATAATGCAATTTGGGATATGACTTATAGAGTTTTAGTATTTAAATCAATAGAAGTGTGAAAAGAATCAAAAGGAAATGAGAAGGCTAACAAAATGGACAGGTGGACCGCTCAGATTAAAACCCTAAAATGAAGGGTCAAGATGTTTTTTTCTGTTTAAAAATTAGATACAGCTGGTGGCCTCTGACATTTTCAAAGACCACCCTTATCCCCTCTTTTCATTTCCCTGTATGTGTATTTCCAAGACTCCATTCAAAATAAATACAACAGAAAAATTAATAAGCATTAAATGCTCTCTACCCTACCCGGCTAAGTTTCTTTACATGGTATCAGAGAAGTGCCTGTGATAAGCACTGATTCTCTTGATTTTTACATTACAATATTACTCTACTGCTCAATGAAAAATCCTAATACAGATGTATTGGCACTCCTAAGCTCAGACCAGCCCGGAATGCAGCTCGTCACAACCATACTTGATGGATCCAACTACTTGTCTTGGAGCCGAGCCATGGTGATCACATTGAGAGCCAAGGATAAGCTCGCCCTCGTCGACGACAAATGCAGAAAGCCCGAACCTGATGCTTCAGAATATGAATAATGGCCCAAAACAAACAGCATGGTGGTGTCTTGGATTCTGAACTCGATGAACAAAGAGCTTGCTAGCGCCTTCCTGTTCACCACATCAGCAAAAAACATGTGGGCTGAAATAAAAAAAAGGTATGGTGAAAGTAACGGACCTCTATTGTATCAGTTAAAATGTGAAATAAGTTCCATCACGCAATTTAACCTTTCTGTCGTAGCCTATTACACAAAACTCAAAAGGCTGTGGGATGAGTTGACATACCTAAGGCCCTCACCTGCTTGCACCTGCCATGCTGCAACACAACACAGTGAAATAGATAACACCAACAACTTAATCTAATTTTTAATGGGTCTTAATGACTCATACGACCATGTTAGAATATTGATCATGGACCCTTTACCCATAGTAAATAGAGCTTATTCTATGGTGATTAGTGTTGAAAAATATAGGAAAGTACACAATAGTAACTCATTTGAGGGGACACTTACTGCATTTTACACCAACCTGAAAAACAATCCAAAATTCCCAAACCGAATAAAAGAAAAGGACAGCAGTGCATGCACTTACTGTAAAAACACAGGACACACAAAGGACACTTGCTTCAAGCTCGATGATTACCCAGAATGGTTTACAAAACACAAAGGAAAAAGGAACAAAGAAAAGGCTAATGCAGTGGCAAATAATGCCCCTGATAACACCAAAACAGAAGTATCCAACACAAACTGGGGCATAGAAATGTCCACACTCATACAACAGGAGATTAGCAAGTACTTGAAGGACCAAAGAGCAAACACAGCAGAATCGATAGGGTGCATGGGCTACTCTGGCCCCCCTAGTAAGCAACTTAAAT